TTCTCATTTTTAGTTATGAGTATATATAAGAGGTAAAATAGAGCCGGATAGTCTTTGTGACCGAGTATTAACGTGAGACTTTTACAAGAATGAGTTTCAGCTTTGATGATGTCCATCATACGGTGGATGAGAGCTCAGCTCGTTTTCAATGGAAGTGAGGGAGGATGTCTCGTGGACTGCGTCAATCTGAACGTCGTATAAAGACTAAACGACTGAGGTACAACGGGATCAACCTGCGAATCTCTTCTTCATGCACTTTCATACAAAATGAATATGTTCCCAACAATATATTATCAAACTGGCCGAATTTCACGGCTGAGGCCGCATCTGCAACCTGTTTTGCTGATTAGCCTATGACAATCTGAGCCCCTGTAGCCAATCTCATCAATGCGCCACGGCAACTCTCACAGAGCGTCTAAAGTCAATGACGCCCGGGCGAATCGATTCGACCAGTCCACATGGCGATTCTACTCAAAATCCGGCACAACGTCGACTGGTCTTTGCTCCGGTTCCCGCCTGATGAGCTGCCCGTTTGCTCTTCCGTCAAAAGTATGTCTATTTGTGTATGAGTATATTCTTTGTTGCAACATGAACTACGACATTTTTATGTTCATTTTGGCTTCAACGCTTTGACTTTATGCTAACGCGTTGTAAATGCGCCAAGTTCAAAGCAAATCACGGCCCGCTCGTTCGCTGCTTCCGCTGTTTCCAGGACGGTGCCGGCGAAGCGGTCATATCTGCGACTGGGGAGACCCACAAACACACACGTAGACATACATACACACACACATATATATATATATGTATACACCAAAAAGACACAAATACATACACTTGCTTTTTCACACATTTGCACGTGCCATATGCACATATTCATTTGTCTATAAAGCAATTACGTCTACTTTTTTTGTTACACACAATGCAAATCTTGTCGCTGGAGTGTCGCCCGGATAATATCACGAATTTGGCTCCGGATTTGGCGACACTTTGCGTCTGTGCCATCCCACTCCAACCCTGTTCACAGCCTCCTCCCTCATCCTGCTCCCACGGCCTTGGCCGAAGCTTGAGCCTTAAGCCCTCTTCCTCCCATCCGTCCGTCCGCCCCACCCACCTCTGCCTGCTCTCCAGAGTCCCATGTCTAACTATAAAATGGTGGCAACACCTTACACCCTCTAACTAGCACTCTTTATTTCGGCTTCAATGGAAAAGTGAGTGGGAATAAGCAGATCGTAAACAAGGCCCACTAAGAGGGCCAAGGTGGCCTAATAAACACCTCGTAGAGGATGAATCACTGTGGAGGGAAACTTCGCTTCTACGAGGCCTGAACAGCCGAGGTCGATTAGGTTCCATCCAGTTAGAGACGTAATTTGGTACCGGTTTGCCGGCCGGGTGTGCATACAAATAACGTAAGGTGAACAGGGAGCCACTTGGTCGGTTGGCTACCTTCTTGAGCCTGATCTGCCATTCCTGTTCGGCCGCCTTCAAGCCAAAATAATCATAGCCCAACCTGCACAGTGTGTAACCAGCCGGGGTGAATGAGGCGAATCGGTGTTAATAAGAGCTGTTGTTGGTTGGCGAGAATTCACGGCAGAAGTGGGATCTCGAATCAGATGGTCTGATTCGAATCACATTTTATACATAGAAATTATTTTGTGCAGCCGACGTGAGGTGGGATCGGCAAGATTTCGTCTTGGTGGAAAAGACGATACAATTTTGCATTTCGAATTGATCTTGCCATTTATTTAATGTGTCGCATGGCAACTACAAATGGTGAGTATATTATAATTGAGAAATAGGTTGTCTCCGTGACATGATAAATCCCAGCGCCAGCCCTCTTCCGGGCAGCGAGGAAGGCAAATCTATTGAATGACTAGTTTGAGGTATAGAAGCTAATTATTGCCTGAAAGAGACGTGAACATTCGTCCGAGATACAAGCGTGCAATTGATTGAGAACTGGTGTTCAGAACATAGCAAATGAGTCACAAGAGTGTCCACAAATGTCCACAAGCGCAGAGCTACTAGGAATCGGCTTCATGAAGATGAAGGACAGACCGGATATGGCAATATAAAGCATGAACTAAGCAGGCGATGTAAAGAAGTTTTTTAGCTAACTCATACTTTTTGGTTCTCACCAAATTACAGGAGCCAAGCAGAAAGTTGAAGTTATTATAAGTGAAAGGTGCAAGTGTGTGCGTGCATACGGTGTGGTACATGCGGCGCTAAAACCTTTGGAGTCAACTTGGCAGGATTCTTCATTTTTACATACTTTATACACTCCTCGAAATCTATAGGAGAATCAATAAGTTTAATCATTTTGCCGCCTTTCAAGATAAAGTAACAATAGTTTAAAGATAATTAGTAGATTAGTTGTATGCGAATACGCATTGATAAGTCTAGAAATGCACGGACTGACATTTGAAAGGAAATATGATTTAAGGGCGGCACTCTAGTTCTGCTGGAAGACTCTGCTTGTGTCGGAAGAATGTTTCTGAAAGATTATTGTGCCTGCAGGTGTGTGACTGCTGATGTTCTCACAGGTGAATTAATAGTAACATAAAATCTAAGAATTAAAGAATCAAACTTAAATTAAATTAAAAGTAAAGCAAAGGAGAATTAAAATAAAATAAATTAAATATTCGAGAGTATGAAGACCAAGATAGTGTGGTCTTTAGTATGGTTGAGATCTCCTTTTGTTGTATACAATTTGTTTGACCTTGTTTTCAAGAATTAGTCATATTGTCATGGCGACCTTGTTCATAGTATCCCTGACCAAAACGTTTCGCCGGCATCGCCAGTGAACCTTGTCAGCCTTAACACCACACTACAACATGCCAAAGAGACCATTGAAGACGATCCCTTTACTGATTGTCTGCTGTACAGTTGTGATATCTATTCTTATGTCCTGATTCACGAATACCTTCCCTGACAATATGATCAAATAGCAAAGACAAGGTCAAAAAACATCTGTATTGCGTAAGGAGACCACAACCATACTAAAGGTCACAGCATCTTGGTCTGCATAGCGTCGCTATGGCTATGGAAAGAAGATTGCCAAACAAGTTACCGATTACCGCAAAAATGGGAGACAATTGTAAGTCAATCATACATTTGAATTCTTTGAATTGTTGCAAACGTTACGGCATAGCTCCTGGAAATGCCATTCAGACACAGTTAATGAAATACTTTATCACGCCTCCATCTAGAAATTGGCGAAAACAAATGAGATTGAGAGACTTTAGCTATTTATTCGAAGGTATTAAAATCAAGATGGTGCGGCCTTTAGTATGGTAGCTGTTTCATTTTGTTGTATAGAGGTTGCTTGACTTTGTTTCGCAACCTGTTTGTATTGTCAAGGCGACCTAGAGGAATACACCTTGCTCTGAGATCATAATATGCATGATAATTTCCGGAGTTAAACAGTGAACTTGGTACATTAACACATATTTCACCGGCACCGTAGTCTGCATCGTCTGTAGGTCTTACCAGTCCAAGCACCGAGCTAAAACGCATCAATGACAAATGAAGTTAATCCTTCGATCAAATTTACGCCTAACGGTTGTGTTATAACTGCTTCTGTCCTGATACCTTTACCTATTACAGAACCCCTGAAATATGTTTATTTGACTCCTCTAGCAGTATGTCATTTTGGCGAGTTTAGTGGGGCGTGTTTACCTCTATTCCGTCTCGATTTTCCGGAATTGCTGATCCGACTATGGGACTGGGAATGTACCAATTTCACCGTCCAACTCTGGAAATTGTCATGCATACAGTAGACTCTGGACAAGGTGCATTCCTCTAGATCTTCCTGGTAATGTAAGTAAATTGAGAAAACAAGATTAACCAACTTTTAATCTATTTAAGTTCATAGAAAGTAAGTCCAGACTTAGACAAGATCTAGGCCGGATTCTCACTCCGGAGGATCTTCAAGAACTCCAGATTATGATTGATTTATTTTACAGAGACTATCGTTACGTTCTTTATCTGGTGACTGATAACTGAAAAGAGGTGTCTGGGCCCTGCACTCCTGGGTTTCTGAGCCAGGACAGGTGATAGCTATTAGGTAGAATTGCCTTATATCCATCGGTCCGCTGACTTCAGGTCTTATATTAAATAAGAAATAAGAGGACTACCTCAATAAAAAGACTAGGTAATACGTTTGAGATAACGTTGACGAGGTCTGTGTTTGCATTAAATTTAACATCTTTATTTATTCCATTCTGCTTCAGAATTGACCGGGGCTTTGACCTTGCG